GGAAGATATAATTTAAAAAAAAAAAAAAAAAAACTTCACCAAGGTAAACCCCGAGTCGATCTTAATCAGCGGTAACCAATAATATCACTTAGTCGTCGGCTCTCAAGTTCCTTCAGTCCACCCTGGTTATCGTTTAGCTAACCTTTCACTCGTTAGAACGTGACTTGTTGTCGCTAGTATCGTGACGGTATGCACAATTCTACAGGATCAAGCTGTGTTGTGTACTTGATGTCAGAATAGATCTTGAATGAAACAAATTTAAGGGAAGACAGATCAATTATACTTTAGAACACAGTATTAACTCAGGATAAATAATGTAACAATGATTTGCTTTATGTATGATGTGTTGTATACAGCGGTTTTAACCCTTCCCACTTATATTTATAATCGGATAAAACTGGGGTCCCTTTCAAAGTCTGTAGCTTGTTTTAGTAGTAACTAGCAGCATAGCCCGGCATTGCCCGTGCTTGATTCAAAAATCGTACGACTCATACAGCAATCGCTATCACTTGACTTAAAATATTTTTGCCCTTCTTTGCCTTTAAAGGAGTGCCCTTTGCCGTGCTGATGTTGCTACATGCCTTACTTCTTGCCTATCTCACACTGCGAATGTTTTCTAAGCTCTATACTAAACATTAAATCTGTTACGTAAAAAGAACTAAACAAAATGAACACAAAACGATCAGCTTTAAAAAAAAGGACTCGTAACTGGAAAAACCGAATGAAAAAAGAATGTTAACAACAAATACTTTTTCACACCCAACCCAGTTCTGCGGAATCAGAATCAATCAAGCGAATGAGCCAATTGGAGTAAAGTGCCATGCAGATTTAAATTTTCCCCACATGTGACGAATGCAGCTATCGATTTATCTTGCATGCTAGCATGCTAGTTAACATTCGTGTCAGTCAGCTGTTGGCTCTCACGCTAGCCAATAGAATCTTCCTGCCTATTTGTGACAGCCAGCTATTGACTCTCACTCTGGTCAGTAGAAAATGGCCACAAACTACATGAAAACTGTCGTAGAAGCATGAAAAAATCGATTATTTCCACTATCGATGGGAGTTGGGAAATGCAAAGTCCGTCTTGCCCTTCTCACTACCTTGGAGCATGTGCATATAAATTTGCGTGCAAATCTGTCGAAAATTGCGGCCGTGCATTCGTTACACACACACACACACACACACACACACACACACACACACACACACACACACACACATCCTGCGTTTTATTGATAGAGATTAAAGTTCTAAGTTATGGTCTTCAGGTCTGGCAAAATGTCTTGGTGTCGACAAGCGATGCGGATTCCTGTAGCAGTAATATGGGGATTCATTGTGTCACCTTCTGTCCAAAATCCGAATGCTTATATAGAGTCATGCGTATAGCATGGGTGGGGTTGACTAGGGCCGGGGTTAGGTTGTCTTCTACCCTAAGCATTAACCCTTTCTAAACTTCCATATATAAAAATACGTGTACTCAAGTGGTTTTCCCTAATTTGGTGTTGCCCAGCCTCTTTTGAGAGTGGTCAGAAGGAAAAGACATCCCTTAATCTAACTCTCTTTACGCTACTTACGCCTCACCTCGTACATACACACGCGCACACACACACACACACACACACACACACACACACACACACACACACATATATATATATATATATATATATATATATATATATATATATATATATATATAGAGAGAGAGAGAGAGAGAGAGAGAAAAAAGAGGGTGAGCTTGATGAAAATTCTGTACGCATTTGCTTTAAAATATATTCTCACCGACCTCTATAAAGTAACGTGGAATATATATATATATATATATATATATATATATATATATATATATATATAGAGAGAGAGAGAGAGAGAGAGAGAGAAAAAAGAGAGAGATAGATAGATAGATATGCAAAGAGAGGGAGAGCTTGAAAATTCTGTATGCATTTGCTTTAAGATATATTCTCACCGACCTCTATAAAGTTACGTCGAATATATATATATATATATATATATATATATATATATATATATATATATATATATATATATATGGGGAGAGACCGAGAAAGAGAGAGAGAGTGAAATGTAATTCCTTTGGAATCTATTCTCATCGGCAACGTGGCTGAGTAAAAGTCATTCAAACTTATTGTCTTGCAAAAAGTCCGTTCCACTGATGGTTTTCAATCACCGCAGACTTTCAAAAGAAAATGTAAATAATTATTACAAAAATCACTTTAGTCAATTGAAATATCAAAGTATGAATTAGTGTCCGACTGTGAAGTGGATTTGATTTTTGTAGTTTTGATCCTGTGTCAAACGCCGGAAATGAAGAACTTAAAAAAGATGATTGGTTGACCAAACAGCAGAGGCGACAAAATGGATGTTAAAGAAAGAAAGATTAAAAACTAACGAAATCATATCACATACGAATAAAAATATGAAAGAACAATGAAGAAAGAAGAATGAATAAAACAATAATTGAATAAATTAATAAAAATGAAATAAAAATAGAAATGAAGAAATAATGAATACGGAAGAAAGAAAACTTATTGAAATAAGAAAGAAAGAAAAAAGAAAGAAAGAATGCAAAATACTAGAAAGAAAGAAAATATTGAACTATAACAGAGAGAAAGAGGAAAAGAGAGTAAAAAGTAAAAATGAAAAAATGTAATATATATATATATATATATATATATATATACAAATAAAGAAAAGTCACTGACATTATTCGGACTATTGTCCTCATCTTTGTTGTCATATTCACGACGCTTTAGCCGTTGTACGCTCCGACCTTTCTTTATTCGATTTGAATTCCGAATCGAACTCTTTATTCCGTCCACCGAGGTATACGGTTCTATTTCCACGTGCTATGCCTCTTCCGGATATTTCTGTTTCAGTTATTTCCTTTTACCTCAACTCTGAACAAAATGAATTAAATAAAGAAATATGAAACGAAGAAAATAACAGAAGGAAAGAATAAAAATCAATAGAGAAAGAAAAACTATATTTAATTGCTACATTGCAACGTGATTTACCTTTAATACGATAACCAGACACAAAGCTCTATGCCTCATCCAGAAAGAAGAGCAATAGATAAGGAATTTTGTTGTGGCAACGCGCTACCATTTCTTATAAAACTAGAAAAAAAACTGATCGAGATTTCTGTCTTAATTTCTGTACAGGTGAGGCCCATACAGAGGTGGGCGAAAAAAATCTAAAACTGGACAAAACAGAAGCTCGATCAGTCATAATGTATCTGCAAAAGAAAAGTATGACACCCAAGGAAATCCTTGAGGACATGGTATAGCGTGCATTTACAAAAAATGGACGAAGTTGAATTTTTTTTTCTTGGTTTATTGATTCTAAAACTGGAAATGAAAGAAATATGCAACATCTTTGTCATACAATACAGTTAAAAAGTTTGAAGTCACCCCCGGAATTAGCATAGGATGAATTTGACAGAATAGTGAGAAAGAAAGTGAAAAAGAGCTGTTAGATTCATTGAAAAGAGAATCAAATAATACAAAAACCATCTACAGCTCGATAAAAAGAGAAAGATCTCCTAAAGTGAGAATCTGGCACAGAAGGAAGCAATTAAGAGGGTCGTTCCAAAAGTTCTAAGCATCATCTAGAAAGAAGAGCCATAGCTGAACATTTTTGTTGTGACAACACACTACCACATCTTATAAAACTACAAAAACTAATTCATATTTCTGCCTTAATTTCTGAGCAGGTGAGGCACATACAAAAGTGGGAAGTGGGAAACAAATCTAAAAATGGACCAGAGGCCCGTACAGTCATAAAGTATCTTTAAAAGAAAGGTACGGCACCCAAGGAAATCCATGAGCACATGGTACAAATACTTGCTGAGGACTCCTCTTCCGATGCAACTTTGAAATAATGGGCCGCAGAATTCGTACGGGGCAGGGAAATCACAGAATATGACCTTCGGTCAGGTTGTCTAAAGCCCCAACCACTGATGAACAAGTGGATGCCATTCACCGTATGGATTTTAGATGAGAGACGTATTACTATGCAGCAGATAGCTAAGTTACTAGGCATTAGTTCTGGTTTGGTCCATACTAAACACTCTCAGCCACGGATCGCGTCGCCGATCAAGCAAAATCGAATAGTACCATATAAACGCAAATACTTCCCAGATTCTCGAAAGATCATATTTGCTCAAATATATATATATATATATATATATATATATATATATATATGTGTGTGTGTGTGTGTGTGTGTGTGTGTGTGTGAAAAGTGTATATAAATATAAATAAATATATATATGTATAATTATTTGTTTGTCTGACGATCGCTAAAGCATGAAACCCAGGGTCAAACTCACATCTATCCAACCAAATATATATATATATATATATATATATATATATATATATATATATATATATACACACACATATATATATATATATATATATATATATATATATGACGAAACATAAATACATCATACCTTGAAAAAATAACTACTCAGTATCAGGGATAGCGCTTATCTAAATATAAAATTGGAGAGTGACGTCATCACCAGGCAGCGACAGTCTGTTTCATGCCTGAACGCAATCTCCTGTTTGAAATAGACTGTTGCCGCTCGATGTTGATCTCAGGGTTCACTTTATATATCGAAGTTAACAATATGCAGGGAACCGAGGTTTCATGCCTGAACACACACTACTTCCAAGATGCCTTGGAGTTTACCTTCAAGAATGAAACCAGGCTGTCGGCATTATTATTTACATACGTCTGTTTCTGATCATGAGGACTTTTACCGGAATTTTTGGGTGGGGGAGATATTAATAGTTTAGTGATGCAAGTCTTAACAATTTATCCATAGTTGAGAGATGAATATGTGTATCCATCTTTTTCACAACGGTATTTCTATGTAAGTGAATATCATGAAGCCAACGCGATTTGGAACTCGGCTCTCCGATTAACAATTCGGAGTTATTATCATTACACCAACCGCACATCCAAGATTCCAACACCTAATACTCCCAAGCGGTCACTCTTCAAGGTACTAAACAACCTCAACATTGCTTAACTTTGCTGATCGTTCGGGAACCGGTGTTTTAACGATATGTTAACGTAAGCCATTCAGAAATTAAGGCCAAATTAAATGAATATATCTATGAATGCATTGTATATGCATGTTTATATTTTCAGCAAAATGATATCTTCATTTAAAGCTAAGCAAACTATCACTGTATTTCAGCAATTTTGCTGATCAATCGACTGTTAACAATCGTATTCCGTGAAGATGTGAGCAGTCATGGCTCTCGCCACTTTACTATCTTTTGTTGTCCCAAGTAACTTCTTTGAATTTTTACCATCTCTTCACACAATGTCACTTCATGTAAATTCACAAGATGTCTACCCGTGTCTTTCTTAATTTCAATGCGTCCTGTGAAGTGTGCGTTCTCCAGGTTATTTTTTTTCCATTTATTTACTCTCTCGCCTTACAATCAGTAATTCAAGCGTTATTCGTATGTCTCATTTCTCTTCAGGAAGTGCATGGTCAGGGATCTCCACTACTTCATCTTTTTTGTTCTTCTAAGTATCTTTCGACTTATGCCTTCACCATTTGTCTTTACCCTCGTTAAGTAGGTTACTCATTGTTTGCTATACTATCCTGTTGGTTCAACAAATCCAAAAAGAAAAACACAATATTCCAACTCCTTTTAGAGGAAGCACTCCTTAATTGAAAATGTTTTTACGGGTGTAGCAATACTGGCTACGATTGGTCAATTGCGGATTGGTGAAGGTATTTAAGTCATAGAGCTTCTGAATTCTGACGTGTCCTTCTAGACAAGTTGCCACAGAAGAATATAGGTCAAGTTCTGTCCTGCTATTCAATCACAAGGATGTAAGGGATGGATTCGTACCTTTCCTAATTTGACTTTGGAATTCGAACTCGGCTTTCCAATTCCTCAATCCGAATAGCTATCCATGGCTCCATTGTGTCTCCTGTATGTTCTATGACTATTAAATTCTACATTGCATTATTATTTCTAAGAATTTCCAATTATTTCTTTCTAAGTGGAAGTATACGTTTTCTTGTAATTCCTATTTTCCTTAAATCATCCTCATTATTCATATGTGCTTCCCATGGTTTTCTTAGCAATCGTCACATCTCCGTTAATTCAAATTTCTTCTTCATCTGTTAGAAGATTCTCCGGTATTCTCTGCCATACTGCGGATTAGATAATACGAGAAGGTTAAATAATACAAAGAAGTTTCCTTGATTCTAACAATATTTTCTATCTCCTACTACTTTTCTTAATTTCGGAAAGGCATCATTTGCAATTCCTATGTGTCTTTTTCTGTTTGTAAATATAACTTTAGTTGTTAATAACCTGCTGAGTGACAAACAGTATGTTTTGATATTTCAGATCCATTACTGATGTCTCAATTATCATTACAAACCGAATCAGTGAGGTACTAGCAATAAAGTCAACACTAGTGCAATTATATATCAAAATCCTCAAAAAGTTGTAGTATATGAGTTACTGTACAAACTCTCCACTATAGAGCCCCCGGAAGAGTTTTCTCAATTTTCATATCATTCCAAATAGGGATGACAATGAAGGTCAGTATTAAAGTCTAGTCCTCTTATGCCTACGTCTTCAACTCAGGCCTTCTCTAAGACATTATTAACGATATGCCTAAGAACATACTCAGATCTCTAGTCAATACATATTATCTAGTAAAAATCACTGAGTAAGCCTTAAGCTTTCATGATGAATGATTCTTTTTCTCAAGGAAGATCCTTGTCTTGAACACCTGTTCAGAGTCAAGAACGCATATATACGACCGATGCTAAAATAATTGTCGATTCCTTTTATCGCTTAAGAGAGTATCTTGTCCTCCAGCTATTTTCTATCTTTGCAAGAGCAAGATAAGACCATAAAAGGAGTATTGCTGCCATATCTAGGCAAGAGCTGTCCAGTCCTCACTGCCCAGCCTTCAGAAGCTTCTTCGCTGCCAAGTGAGTAACGAATTATTTTCACTTTACAGTATTTATGCCACGAGTGAAACATCGCAAGCTTCTCGGGAATCTATCGCTATTTTCTTGGCAAAAGTTCTGACCAGCTACGTTCCTTCGTTCCAAGAGTTCTAAATTTCACAGATCAGAGCCGCCATTCCCTAACACAGAAAAAATCGTCCCCTATTTTAACGTATTCCGTCAGTGAGAATGAAATACTATTCACACAGCTCCCTTCTAAGTTGCTCCCTTGTTCACTACATTCTAAACCTCTTTAATCTAGAATTTACCGTTATCTTTCCTACATATAGTTATAAAATTCACCTCCTCGTCTTTCTTATATCAGCCTCAATAAGTAACCCTCTATCTTGAATGGCTCATGGCCCTTATATTTGGTGAACAATTCGAAATAAATACGTTATTTACATGTGTACTATTGTTCTCAATTTGTTTTTATTGTCACGAGATTTCGTTCGTTGTGATACTACATTATTACTGCCTAAGGATTGTGCAACAGTAGCATTATCAACATCCACATGAATCTTTTAGTAGCAGCCAACAGTGAAATTTAAGTGCTGCTTTCTCAGCTTTCTGTTTTCTTTTTTTTATTTTTTATTTTCTGTATTCTTCTTTTTTTTCATATATTTCCAGGTTTTAATTTTTCTCTTTTATTTTTCATTTCTGTCTTCGATACAATCCTTTATTATTTTAATTCTTATTCCTTGTTGATTTTAACGTCTTTCGTTCGTCTGTTTAAGATTTTTCTTTCCTATCGAAGTCTCTCTTACAGAAAGACTGTCTTCCAAAAATGTTCCTTTTTCTTTCATTGAAGATTGTAATTCACGGCAAAGCAAACAACCTGTAGAGATTTTCCACAAGCCATAAGTGTGAGAGAAGAAATTATTAGAATAGAATTTACGGTTACATCTAAGGTATTTCCACAGTAAAATGGTGAGACCTATTTGCCAATCTAGTACTGTACTTAAATTCATGTAGATCAGGTACCAAAAAGGGAAATTCACAAGAAGAATTACCATGTAAATATGTATAGAAAAGGCAAAGAGAAGCTACGTCAGGGCGGTGGGACAATCATAAAAGCCAAGATACCAGGGCAGGACCAATAATCTTGCAGATTTCCTCTTTGGATTTTGTCAAGAATCTCGAGATATAGAGCAGGTGTACCTGCCCAAATGTGGAAATTAATATTTTTCTCCTTTGTTTTGTTTTAAAAGTCCTCTTCGCATTTTTTTCATTTTAATTTTATTTATGTTTATTTTTTTATTAACATTTACTTAATATTAATTATGGTTTGCCATTTTTGTTGGCACATTCGGTCATTTTTTAATCCTTTGTCATCCTTCCTTATATAAAAGTCCTTCTTTTTATTAGCTTCATCAATTACTCTCTTCAAATTTCGTTTTTGTAAATTGATCCTAATTTCAGTCTTTTTGTTATTTTTTCACATCGATGTATTCTCTGCTTTCATTTTTTTCTTTTTCTTTCCTCTTCATTTTCATTTAGCTTATACCACCCCGTCTTTCTCCCTTTATTTGTATCCTCTCTTCTTCATCTTTTTCATCTTTGCACCTGCCTTTCGACACTTCTATATGACATCTCAACTTCTAGAACCTCTATAGTTTTAACTTCTGCATTCTTCTCTATCGCCTTTATTTTCTTCTTTCTTCTTCTTCTTCTTCTTATTATTATTATTATTATTATTATTATTTTAAAGTCACATTTTCCTTCCTTTTCTTCTTCTTTACTTCTTGTCTTCTATATTTTAACCTGTCTTTTTTCTTCGTTTTTTCATTATTATTATTTTAAAGTCACATTTCTTCTTCTTCTTCTTCTTCTTCTTCTTCTTCTTCTTCTTCTTCTTCTTCTTCTTCTATTATTATTATTATTATTATTATTATTATTATTTTAAAGACACATTTCCTAATTTTTCCTCGCCATTAAAAAGTTCAACTTCCGGTCACATTTTTTACCGCTTCTTCTTTCACTCCGAGGGAAGCAGGTCGGAATTCTTTGAACATATCAAAAGGAAGCCTAACGTGAAAGGCTAAAAGTCAATCAGAATAGAATCGAAATCGATCGCCCTTTCAATCAAAATTTCAACCACCCCAACACCACACAACAAAAGTGGCAAAAAATATTCGCAAAAAAAAAAAAAAAAACGTAGAAAAAATACTTTCAACTCAATGGCGACATAATGCAATTATTTGCTGAATTTCATATTTCGCTGCTCTCCTTTTAATAAAATGAAATAATGAGTTAATTAAATCGAGATAATTAAAAAAAAAGATAATGAGAGTTATTGGAGGCCAGATCATAAAAATATTTCACTTATTTGTTTATTTCCATTGGTCATCATAGAAAACTGATAGGAAGAGTCGTGCAAATGTATCAAAAATTGAATTACGTTACCATATTGTAGCATTGTGAATAATTCAAATATTTGGTTTTTGGTTATCATGGATTTTAGAAGTCAAAATCATTGTTTACTAACCCGTATTCTCCTGGCAACAGTTCTAAATCATGATATATATATATATATATATATATATATATATATATATATATATATATATATATATATATATATACTTCATCAAAATAATAAGACCAGAGACAAACATTCTACGAAATTGTACGAAAAATGTACAAAAACATTCAACAACCAAATTTAATAAGTTCTACCTCCACTGGTTTTGATGACTTCAAAAAGTCATTGGTGCATGCTAGAAATTAGTGTTTCCATTAAGCTAAAGATAGCTTCACGAAGTTTATTTTTTGTTGAATATTGTTTGCCATTTCGATAAACATCTCTTGTCATCCATCCCTAAACATATTCAATTGGGTTCAACTCCGGTGAGCATGCAGAATGTCTCATGAGACGGGTCCCATTTTGTTGTAGAAATGTCAAGACCCGGCATACAGCGTGGATTGCAGCATTATCCTGTTGGAATAACCATCCATCCCATACAAACGATGGCCCTCCGTCACCAACAATACTTTTTTGTAGTATGCTAACATAACCAGCCGCTGTCCTATGACCCTGCACCACCTGGAGCTCCATCGTCCCTCTGTAAG